AAAGTGCCAAAAGGTTTCTTTTGCTTCTTTATTTTTTTTTGAATTTTCAAAATTCCCTAAATGAGGTGTATTTAATAACAGAAAAAAAGTTTAAAAATTGTGAAAAACAAGACTATTCATTAACTTATTTGTCATACTGTTCTTCATAAAAATCAAAATGTGGTAAACAACTTAAATGTCCAATTGGAGAGTGGTTAAATTATGACACAACTCTGCAACAGATTTCATAACCACTTTAAAAGTAGTTTAGACATAAAAATACACAGGCGTAGGAAATGATACTGAAAGGAAATGCTGCTAAATGTTCATAGTAATATTCTTGGGCAGTTTATTTTTCTTTACACTATTCTATATCCACATTTTCCACAATGAGAAGGAAATAGATACAAATAGATGACCATATTTTTAAGAGCAAACATTACATTTCAAAGTAGGACATTCCACATGCAGTTTTATTTTGAAATTACCTGTATTGTTGTTGCAGTAGATCTTTAGGTTCAGCTTGGTTTTGAATTCCTCTGCGAAAAACTGCACTGGCATGCTGCAGCTCTCCCTGACCTTCCAGATGACTCGCCCAGGATACATACAGAAGAGATGACAGTGTTCCAATTCCATGGTTGTACAGAAACTCAAAAAACTGATGAAGATCACTGTTGTACTCAGCCTACAGGAACCCAAAGCAAAAAGACATAAAAATAATGGAATTGCTAGTTTAGGTCTGGCTTAGAGTCTAGTGAAGCCTCAACATTCAGTCTTTGTGGCAGCCTCAGGATGTACAGTGTAGGGGGGGAAGGCAGGTGTGGTCCTTTGATGGCAGACCTAAAAGTTAGGCTCATTCTTTTCCTTGACATTCAATTTCCCCACTGTTACCCACACTATTTCCCAAGATAGCAGGGTCTATAATGACCCATTACATAAAGTATTACTTTTATTTGTATTATTCTAAGCTTGTTCAATTTCCATATGGTGCCTCTAATCGTAGTAGTTTGTAATTTAATCAACAAATTCAAGTTTACCCCAAACACTCCATTCATGATTTTATTACCATAGTTCATGTCCCCAAGCCTTTATTTCCAGACTAAAGAGTCACAACCTTTTAAAGCCTAACCCTAAGTAGCCTTCTTTTAATACTAAATTAGTTTCTGAGAGTTAAAATTTTCTTAATTACAATGAATTTAATTTACTACTAGGAACCCTCTTAGTACCTGGTAGTGCCTGCTTATCCTCCCTCCACCAAACACAATCCTCACCCAATAAACCTTTTAATTTCATGGTCTCTATCTCATGTTATAACATTTATAGACTTGACACATAGGGGATGGTTTTAAAATTATATCACTGATCCACAATTCAGAAGCCAAAGGTTCTAAAATACATATCTGTGGCCATATAACTTTTAAAAATTTATGACTGGAAACAAGAAATTAAAAGACCATCTAAAATGATCTTAAAGTCTAGAGAAAAAAGCAAAAGTACAACACAATTAGGGATTTGATCATATATCTGAAAGTATACTTACAAATTTTAAACAATAATTGATGAATCTTGGGTCATTGTGGTATCTCTTATCATTTAAAAATGCCTTCATTAAATGTTCTAATAAAGTTGTCAAGTATTCTTTATTCTCAGGAAAATTCTCTTCTACCCACTGCATGTAGCTATAAAAATATAGATAACGTTAATTTTCCATAGGGCAGCATATAGTTTGTTTGAAGGGAAAAAAAAATAAACCAAATGCTAACCTTTCCCATTCACCAAGTGGGTCATCACCCCTGTAGCTTCGCATGTGGGCTTCAAACATTCTAGAACAGAAAAAAGTATGCACATGAAATATTAGGAATCATTCCTAAAAACAAAAGATATATGATTATATATATATAATTTATATACCTTCAAATTGAAATATTAAACGTCAATCCAAATGCTATATAAAATTTAAAAGAGCATTCACTCAAAAGTGGTCAGAAAGCTCATAAGCAGTGTTTTTACAGAAGAAAGTAAGTCCCCAGCTCTATCTCCAAGAACCTCCTTGTCCTCTCATTGGTCCCCAATGTTACTACCACCATGAAGAGCAGCATCCAGAAGTTTCTGCGTCTCCTCCTAACAGTGGGATCCAGGCATGGCACTGATTCAGATACCTCCCCTGGCTTCCCAGGAACATGGCTGAGACATGGCTGGAACAAGATTCAAACAGGGCTCGGAAATGGGTGCCAGATAGTCCAGGGAACCAGATATAGCGATTCCTTTCTGGGCCTCAATGTTACACAATGTCCTTGAGGAAGAACACATGATGGCAGTGCCCATAAACTAGGCGTTAGAACTCCCAGAGGACTATGCCTACTTCAAATACCCAACCACAGCTTAAAAAAAAAAAAAAAAAAAAAATCAAGCAGGCAAAGCAAAATTCTCCATGGGAGCTTAGATGCTAGTGAGGTAAACAAACAAATAAACAAAAAGAAACATGTAAAATAATGTCAGGCTACACTAAATATTTAGAAGAAAAAACAAAACAGGAGAAGAGGTAAGAATGTGATGAGTTACTATTTTAGATAGGGTGGTCAAGGAAGACCTGAGTCTCTGAGGGAGTGACATGTGATCAATGCTAGATAGGCATGTAGCTATCTGAGGGGAAATGGTCAAGGGTGAAAGGACTTCAAGAACTGGACCCTTCCACGAACAGAAAGAAAATCAGTGTGGCTTAAGTGTGATAAGCAGGGCGGGGTGTGTGTGTGTGTGTGTGATAATATCTCATTTGCATTTTAAAATATCCACTTTGTTCCTCCATATAAAGAAGGGGGTGGGGGTGAGAACAGAAGTGGGAAATCAGTTTGGAAGTTATTGCAGAGTCCCAGTGACAGGGTAATGAGTAGGACCAGGGTGGGAAGTGCATGAATGTGATTCGGGGTATGTTTTAGAGAAAAAGACAATGGCATTTCCTGATGGGATCGCATAAGGTGTATGAGAGAGTCAGGTTCAGGGAAGTCTTCTAGGTTTTCTATGTGAGAAATTACAAGATTTTTTTGTAAAAAAGAATTTCTAGCTATTACTTCAGTAAGTAAATGAAATCAATGCTTATGACTCAAAATCCAGAAGCCACAAAAGAAAAGCTAAATCAATTATGTATAAATAAAAACCTTCTACAACAAAACAAAAAACTCAACAATACGCAAAGCTCTCCGCCCCCCCCCCCGCCCCTTAA